AGAGATCTCCATGCTGTGGCTCTTACCTGGCTCTTAGGCCACCAACGTTCAATGCAAACACAGATAAAAAGAATTGCGCGGTCCCCGCCTCGCCCGCCCGGGGGGGGGGGGGGCCTGCACCCTCGCTTGGACCCATAGACCGGATCGGCAATGTTTTTCCCCTCCGCCCGCGATGGAGGCCTTTTTGAGCGTCGCCGCCAGCTCGCTCCTGGCGGCCCGACTGTGGCCGGCTATCCGCGAGAGTCGACTCCTGGGCGTGTTCCGTGGTCCCGCGCCCGGATTCCGGCCCAGGAGGCTCTCGAGCGGCACACTGGTGACAGGCTCCTCGACGCTCTCGTTCAAGCGTCGACCGGACACAACGCCGCTCGTAGGCCGCCACGACCAGGCTGGTCGGCATCTGAGTTGAGGCCTGCACCAAGCTGCACGAGTGCATCGGCCGTGGCCGCAGCAGGTCCATCCGACGGGCGTCAAAGCTTGCCGTCGGCGTGCTGTCGTGGGAGAGCCCGAGACAGCTGCAGAGGAGCCGAGTGCAGTGGCGAGCCAGGGGCGGCCTGGGTCACCAAGTGGCGGTCCTTGCCCACCCTGAGCAGGACTGTGCTTTGGTGGGTTGTGCTTGAGCGTGTGTGAAGTGGGAGTGCGTGCCGGCGGTGTCTGTGAGCTCGTAATGTGCGTGCGAGGGCCGTGTGTAGGGTGTTACGAGCCGGTGTGAGCTTGAAGACCCGAGACAAGTGCGGTTTGGGACACCTCAGGCCTGATCCTGATGGGACTGGGCCAGGAGAGCGACAGAGAAGGCGAGGTGGTGAGCTGAGAGGCTGGAGCGTCCGCGTGTGACCTTGTCGCGGTGAAGGTGCCAAAAAGCGTTGTTTCCTGCTCTCAGCTCACCACCTCGCCTTCTCTGTCGCTCTCCTGGCCCAGTCCCATCAGTATCAGGCCTGAGGTGTCCCAAACCGCACTTGTCTTGGGTCTCCAAGCTCACACCGGCTCGTGATGCCACGGAGAGTGCTCGAGATTGTCCTCAGTGGACCCCATCCGAGGCGATTGCGAGGGCATTCCGGAGGTCATTATCGGCGCCACCGACCGTGATATGTCTCGTCTCGCAGCCCCCATGCACCAGTGCCATGGGTGCAGTCATAATATGTAGGCCTTCTCTCCCACAGTTTTGAGCAATAGCCGCAAACAACGCTTTTTGGCACCTTCATCGCGACAAGGTCACACGCGGACGCTCCAGCCTCTCAGCTCACCACCTCGCCTTCTCTGTCGCTCTCCTGGCACAGTCCCATCAGTATCAGGCCTGAGGTGTCCCAAACCGCACTTGTCTTGGGTCTCCAAGCTCACACCGGCTCGTGATGCCACGGAGAGGGCTCGAGATTGTCCTCGGTGGACCCCATCCGAGGCAATTGCGAGGGCATTCCGGAGGTCATTATCGGCGCCACCGACCGTGATATGTCTCGTCCCGCAGCCCCCATGCACCAAATATATGCATGCAGTCATAATATGTAGGCCTTCTCTCCCACAGTTTTGAGCAATAGCCGCAAACAACGCTTTTTGGCACCTTCACCGCGACAAGGTCACACGCGGACGCTCCAGCCTCTCAGCTCACCACCTCGCCTTCTCTGTCGCTCTCCTGGCCCAGTCCCATCAGGATCAGGCC